ACACATCTCCATTGATAGGATTAAAAGGTTGGTAAATGTTGGAGTTGTTGAAACTCTTGACTTTACTAACTTTGATACTTGTATAGACTGCATTAAGGGAAAGCAAATTAACAAATCCAAGAAGGGTGCCAGGAAGAGTTCTGAACTTTTAGAGATCATATACCAGATATTTGTTGCCTTGACATGAGCTCTAGTGGTCAGAAATATTTTATCACCTTTATTGATGATCACTCACGATATATGTATCTCTATTTGCTTTATCACATGGATGAAGCGTTGGATGCTTTCAAAATATATAAAATAAAAGTAGAGAAACAATGTGGAAAACAAATTAAGATCGTGAGATCTGATAGAGGTGGTGAATATTATGGTAGACACACTAGCACATGACAAGCACTTAGTCCATTTGCTAAATTTCTTCAAGAGCAAGGTATTGTGGCTCAATACACCTTGCCTGGCACACCATCTCAAAATGGTGTAGCAGAACAGAGAAATAGAACATTAATGGATATGATACGGAGTATGCTGAGTAACTCCAAACTTCCTCATTCTTTGTGGATTGAAGCTCTCAAAACTATAGCATATTTATTAAACCAAGTTCCAACTAAAGTGGTTCCCAAAACGCCATTCGAGTTATGGAAAGGTTGGAAACCAAGTTTAAGTCATTTACGACTCTAGGGTTGCCCAATTAAAGTTAGAGTTTATAATCCACAATTAGATCCTAGGACTATTAGTGCATATTTTATTGGATATGCGGAAAAATCCAAGGAATATAAGTTTTATTGTTCGATCCATTCCAGTAGAATTGTTGAATCAAGAAATGTCAAATTTCTTGAAAATGACGTGGTCAGTGGGAGTGATCAAATCAGAGACTTAGTCCCTGGGAAAATTGATGTTTCAGATAATGCTCCTACATCAAGTACAAGATTGGTTATTCATCCAAACAGGGTGACCAATGAGGAACCACTGAATCCAAGTCCACGTTCTGATGAGATTGTTTAGAATATCATTTTGAACAACCTCCGCTACAGGAGGAACAACCAGTTGTGCAACAGTCTCAACAAGAGACTGTTGATACAACATTAAGGATTTCTACTAGAACAAAGAAATCAGCAATTCCTACTGATTATGAAGTGTATATGCAAGAGTCTAACTGTGACATAAGTGTTGAGGATGACCTAGACACGTTTTTATAAGCTATAGACAATAGTAAATATGAGTTGTGGTATAATACCATGATTGACGAGATGGATTCTATGGCGGATAATAAAGTTTGAGACCTTGTTGAGTTGCCTACTGGAAAGAAACCTATTGGTTGTAAATGGGTATTTAAAACCAAAAGGGATTCATTAGGCAACATTGAGAGATACAAAGCTAGACTTATTGCCAAGGGGTTCATGCAAATGGAAGGGATAGATTATAAAGAAACGTTTTCTCCAGTTTCTAAAAAGGATTCCTTTCACATCGTAATGGCATTAGTTGCCCATTTCGATTTAGATTTACATCAAATGGATGTGAAAACAGCTTTCCTCAATGGAGATTTGGAGGGAGAGGTTTATATGAAACAACCTGATGGGTTCATTTCAAGTGATGGTAAGCATTTGTTTTGCAAGCTTAAGAAGTCCATTTATGGACTTAAACAAGCTTCTCGACAGTGGTATTTAAGATTTCATACTGTTATCTCTTCATTTGGTTTTGTAGAGAATGTCATGGATCAGTGTATATACCACAAGGTCAATAGGAGTAAAATCATCTTTCTTGTGTTATATGTAGATGATATTCTACTTGCAACCAATGATTTGGGTTTGCTGCATGAGGTGAAACAATCTCTCTCAACATTTTAGTATGAAGGATATGGGTGAGGCGTCTTATGTCATTGGCATTAAGATTTATAGGGATAGGTCTCAACATGTTTTGGGACTATCTCAGAAAGCCTATATTAATAAAATTCTTGAGAGATTTAGGATGAGAGATTGTTCACCTAGTGTTGCACCCATTGTTAAGGGTGACAGGTTCAATTTGAACCAATGTCCTACACTTGAGATTGAAAAAGAACAAATGAAAACTATTCCTTATGCTTCAGCTATTGGAAGCCTAATGTATGCTCAAGTCTGTACTAGACTTGACATTGTTTTTGCAGTTGGCATGTTAGGAAGATATCAAAGTAATCCAGGTTTGGATCATTGGAGAGCTGCAAAGAAGGTCATGAGGTATCTTCAAGGAACTAAAGGTTTCCTGCCTACTTATAGACGGTCTGACATTTTAGAAGTCATCGGATATTCAGACTCAGACTTCGCTCGCTATGTTGATTCTCGAAAATCAACATCCAAATATGTTTTTATGCTCGCCGAAGGTGCTATATCTTGGAGAAGTGTCAAACAATCTTTAGTTGCCACTTCTACCATGGAAGCTGAGTTTGTTTCCTGTTTTGAGGCAACTACACAGGGTATTTGGTTGAGAAGTTTCATTTCTAGGCTTGGAGTTGTTGAGTCTATCTCTAGGCCAATGAGGTTGTATTGAGACAATTCAGCTGTTGTATTTTTTGTTAAGAATAATAAGAGTGAAAGTCAAAGTAAACACATCGACTTTAAGTACTTAGCAATAAGGGAGCACATTAAAGCCAAAGAAGTGCTCATTGAACACATACATACCGAGCAGATGATTGTTGATCCTCTAACAAAAGGCATACCACCAAAGACGTTCAAGGATCATGTAGTTCAAATGGGACTACGTCCCGCTTTGTCACTATGAGAGGTAATACTTTCATTCTCTGAAACTTTGTAATTTAGTTTGTTCTCTCTTTTAAGTTGTATACATTTTGGTTAGAGACAAACAAGCATTCTTGAGGACCTGGACCAAACATTTGAGGTTTGTTCATAAAGTAATATTCCACATTTAAGCATTTATTTAGAAAGAGAAAAATTGCATACTAGTGCATGGAAGGTAATACTTGTTTAAAAGGGACTTACCGCTATGATTCATGTAATTTTTATTTTTCTGATTAAACATACAGAATATACAACTCCTATGTTATGGATTATATAATAAAAGTTTGGACCAAATAGGAGAATGTTAGACTTTTAATTACATTATGGTCCTACACTTTTAATATAAAGTGAATGGGTAACTGCTGATGTGGATTATAATAAGATGTCCCCATTTGACGCAATTAATTTATTTTTATTCCCAAAACCATCGCTCTGAAAGATTGCAGTCAGTGGAAGACTTTGTATTCTGAAGTGACAGAAGCAAGAAGACTAAACAACCATTGCTATGGCTGGAGGTTTGTAAATTACTTCTGTAATATTCCATGAGTATTTAACATGTTTATAATTTATTATATTATGAACTTTTATGAATGTTGGAATAGAAATGTTTTATAGTTTTATTACACCTAAAGTATAAAATAATTTTGATTAGACTATAGAAACAACCGTTCTCTTATGGAAAATAAATATAAAAGAATGATTGTTCGTTATAGAAGAAGAGCGGTTTCTCACCGAAGGAATTAGCATGTTGTAATGAATGACCCAACAGCAGATAAAGAGCTCAAAATAAAGTAAAATGGAAGCTCAAAGTGAACTTAACCCAGCCCAAGAACCAAGAGGTAACTAAAAAGTCCAAGCTATAGGCTTGGTAACCTAGGACCTCCGTGATGACAATTTGCCACAAACAGTAAATTGAAAATTCCAGCCACTTATACTTCTTTTTGACTTTCTTCACTATCATCTGCAAAAAAATTAAGCTCATTTGCAGGATCCATGTCAATATAATTGCAGCCTGCAGGCATAATCAAGAAAGTATTTTAACTAGCTTTAATTTAATTTTCCGGTGAACTTTTTGATTGCACTTTTAGAAAAAAAATATTTTTGCTTTGATGATGTCTTGGCCTGGTGGAACCCTTCAATCGGCCGAAGGAGCATCAACGATTTATTTCCAAACAAGTAATGGTGATGAAGTTGAAACAATTACACATCATGATCAGGTGGGTCTCTCTCTCTCTCTACTTTTAATTTGAATTTCTGAATTTAATCAGAGGAATATTTACTTCTTTGCTCCATAGAGATTAAGTAGTGTAGTAAATGCAAAAGTTCTCTATGTTTTGTACTAATCTCTGAAACAAAAGTCTGTTTTCTCTGATTATTAACGAATCCTAAGTCAATCTTTGTGTTGGGATTTCTTTTGAGATTAATGAGACTCAGAATGGGTACATGAAGTATTCAAATTCACAAAGATTGAACTTGTTTCATATAGCTCTGGAAGTGAAGTATTTCTGGATTTCCTGTATTTTTCGCTTTATTTCAAGTTTGCTGTACACCAAAACTATATATGAGATCAATTCTCTGTAAATTTAAGTGCTTCGCGTCCCGCTTTTGAATCTCAATAATCTGATCACAGTGAATACTGGTACATATTTTGACTTCTAAATTTGATAAGCCACAACACGTTTTGTCTCCAAAAATACAGAACAGAGAGACGGTAGTTTGTTCATAGAGCATATATTTATTTTCTCAACTCTGCTTTTGTCATTGAGAATTCAATACAAGCGAATGGGTCATGTCACCGTTGAAATTACCTTTATGGGGAGCTCTATACTAGCAAAGTCAAGCACAGTTAGAATTAATAACTTGTTTTTGTGATCTTGACAGGAAATCATCCAAATTAGAGAACAAAATGTTGGTTCTGAACCTACTTCAAATCATGACAATGAGATAGTGAATTTGAAGAACTTGTCACGTACTAAACGAAGAAAGTTGAATTCAAAGGTTTGGAAGGAGTTCATAAAACATAAAGAAGATGGGAAAGAATGGGTTATATGCAAACATTGTGAGAGGAAGTTTCATGGTTCAAGCCAAATAGGAACCACACATCTGAAAAATCATTTAGAAAGATGCCATCGAGGTAACAAAAATCCAGGTGAAGGTGCAGTTGTTGAAACAAATGATTTAATTGCTCCAGTTGTTATCAAAGAAAAAACTGTGACTGATCGAGAGGCACGAATGATCATTAAGTATGGATTTTCATCACTAAAGTCCATAAAGGCCAACATACTCCATGTTTACAAAGAAGAGAAGGAAAAACTTCATGGATATCTCAATCAACTGTCCTGTCATTTCCATTTGAAATTTGAGTTGTGTGATATGGAGTCCATTTTGATCGTGCTCTACTTTATTGATGATAATTGGGTATTGAAACAAAAGATTATTGATTTCGCATACGAAAGGTGTGAAAGGGAGTCCTCAGATGTTCTTAAAGGTCTACTTGTGGATCTAAATGTTGACAAGAATATATGCTCTACGGTCACAGGTATTTGTGAAAACAATTTGGATCTCTATTTCATTAACTTATGGATCGGTGAACGAGCTGTACTTCCTTTCAATGGGCATTTGTTACCCATTGATTGGCTAGTAAATAAGCTTAAACGGAACGTTCAGAATGGACCAAATTGGATGGCAGGCTTGCTTAGTGAAATAAAGAAGTTGTTTAACTACGTCCGTGAGACATTATCAAATGAAAATAATTTCCGAGTTGCGGTAAATAAAGCCAAGTCCATGGGCAAGAGAGTGACTTCTCAAGGCCTTCCTAAGAAGTCGATTTTCGATGAATTAGAGTTGCTTGAGAGTGCATTGGGGTTTAAAGAAGCATTTTGTGAGCTTGAACAGATAGATCCTGATTTCAAGTTAATAAATTTAACAGATGAGCTATGGTATAAGGCAAACGTGGCATATGAGTGTGCAAATGAGTTAAAAGATGTTGCTGATAACTTTTGGAGGAGCAAATATACTACTGCAAATGTATATTTCCCCAAGGTTTGTGACATATATATGAAGTTGCTTCAATGGGAAGGAAGTGACAATTATTATGTTTGCGAAATTGCATCATCCATCAGAGAGAAATATTTTGACAAATATTGGAGTAAATGTAACTTGGTTCTAGTAATTGCAGTGATTCTTGATCCACGATTCAAGACGGACATTGTAGTTGGTTGGTACATGGAACTCTATGGCAGGGATGCCAATACTCGTCTCAAGAAAATTATGATTGAAGTCACTAATGTTTACAATGAATACGCCAAAGTTCCAAGGATGCTAGACACCCTGGGGAGGCCTTCTCCATCTTCAAATTCAGAACTAGATCTCTACTTAAATGAGGCTAAAATTCCTGCAGTTGAAGAGTTTGATATATTAGCTTGGTGGCGCACCAACTCTCCAAAATATCCAGCACTTGCAAGAATGGCACGAGATTTCTTGGCTATTCCTATATCTACTCCTTGTTTTACTTCAAATACTTGCCATTTGGGTTCTGAGCTTTCTAATATTTCTAATTGTGATGGCCTGGATGTTGACTTGAAAAAGGCTTTGGTATGTACAAAAAGCTGGCTGTAAAGCCCTCAGAAAGTTCTCTTTAATTTTCTTGTTGATTTTTTGTCTTTCCATTTATCTCAAAAATCGCTCTTCGGCCTTATCCAAGGCAAACTTAAAGTGCTTTTAGCCTGCAAGAACTCCAGGTTGTTGACTTTTTTATAGAATAGACTCCACCCAAGCATTGCAGCTTCCTGCTAAATGCAATCTGTCCAACTCTTTCGACCATTGAATTGAAAAAAATCAAATCAAAGTTTGCAACAACTTCATATTCTTAGTTCTTAGCACCATAATAAACAGATAGTATTATCCTTTAAAATTAACAAGTTTATCTTTTGCTGAAATTTTGGCATGTGAAGGTTTTTGTTGTGTAACGGAAACATAAACTCTAACATTATCTATTAAAATATAATAATAACAATTAGCTATTAAAATATAATAATAACAATGACTAAAATAGAAATAAATGGTCAAAATAAATAATACTAGGAATTTACGAGGTTCAAGATTGTAGAAAACTTTATTATCTCTAAAGAATATTACAAACTTTTGGGTAATATTATAAATACCCAAACTATATAGGCATATAAACAATTACCCAAAACAAAGAGAATTACAACAAAACTTCTCTACTAAAGGGTCTTTAATGAAAGAATCCTATATAAGAAGGGTGTAATGGAAATACTGTTTGAGATGCATATAACCATGGCTTGGGTCCTAATATAGGCCCCAAAAGTTGCTCCACTTTTATTCCTAACCAATGTATGACTTACTAATCTTGGCTTATTTTTATAGGTCCCTAACCCTTTCTCCATTTTCATTCGTACCCGATGTGAGATTTTGATAATGAGCCATCTTTCTAACAGATCTCTACCTCGATGAATTAGAAAACCTTCAAATACGCCAAATGGCGTAGTCAAGCTCGCAAGATGTTGATCAAGTTCAATCACTTATTGAACTTGATCATGGTTGCTACTTTTGTTAACATATCTGCGAGATTCTCAGCAGTCCCAATCTTGTGTAGGCAAATTCTTCCTTCACTAAAGATTTCCTACACAAAGTAGTAACGAACATCTATATGCTTGGTGCGAACATGGAATACTGGATTCTTTGTTAAGTGAATAGCACTCTGACTATCAGAATAGATAGTGATCTTCTTCTGACTAATCTTCAATTCTTCCAATAGTCCTTGTAACCAAATAGCTTCCTTTACAACCTTTCTAGCTGCCATATATTTTGCCTCTATAGTAGACAAAACAATTATAAACTATAAAGAAGATTTCCAACTTACTGGAGTTTTAGCAAGAGTAAATATATATCCATTAATGCTGAAGGAGTCGACAACTCCAACATTCTCCCACTTGGCAAATACTTCATACAATGAAGGCCTATCTTATCAACACACCATGTAAACTTTGCTAAGCTTACAAACTTGGTAAGAAAATCTGCAGCATTAACAAATGTATCAACCTTCTCTAATAACACCAATTTTTCCTCCAACTTTTGCCTGATGAAATGGTATTGTATATCAATGTGTTTTGACCGCGAATGAAAAGCGGGATTCTTGGCTAAGTAAATAGCCCCTTGACAAGTTATTTGCAAGTGTATGAAATCGCGCAAGTAGTAAAGCTCGAGTAAACGAGTGTTGAATCCCAAGAGAACTACTTACCAAGTACCGAACTAATATATTTTATTACTATTTGATAAAACAGAATTTTAAGAATAATTTAATGAAAAATAAAACGAACTAAAAACTAAACAAAAACAGAATTTTATTAATACTCTAGTGAAAAGATCAATAAGACTAAACCCAGGGCACATATTTCACACCAATTTAATCCTATGCACTGACAATTATTGCTAACCTAATTAAGCTTATTCTAAAGGCCAAACTCCCTAATATTTTACTAACTTTCTCTCAAACAATTAGCGAATTAACCCTTAAGCAACAACCCAAAATATCTCTAAAGTGGATTTAGAAGCTAAGAGATCAATAAGTTCTATGGAATTTACCAGAGCCTCACAGATCGCAGTAACCTATCTTTAGCGTTAGCTCAATCTATGGTTTTATTACCTTAGACTAATCAGGTTTCATCTCTCGATCTCAACCTAACCCATAAAATCATTCAACTCTCGGGCCCTTAAGAATTGAAAGCATTACATACAATAATAAAACTTAGAATTAATTCTCAATTAAAATTAATAACAATAAAATTAACACATATTCATAACCTAGAAAAGAAATTTAGTTCATAATTGCAGTAATAAAAACAACCATTGTATTAACAAACATGATTTCAAGAAAGAAAAATAGAAAAACTTTTCTAATTAGTGAATGAAAACTGCAAGAATTATGATCTCCAAAATAGTAGTCGCTTTCTCTACTTCTCTAATCCCCTTAAAAACTAATTAAAGACCTTTATTTATAGTGCTAGGGTTTGGAGGTCAATGAGAAAAGAATTAAATGCCTTAAACAATTCAAATTCGCACTAGGAAAATAAAATAACCCAAACAGGCCCACAATTCATCGTTTTAACGATAGAAATGGTTGCTGTGATGATCGTTCTTTCTGTCCCACGAGTCTAGAATCTTTAGAATTTGGTGAAGTCATCAATAAGAACTTTGTAGCTCTCTGAATAATACTTCCAATGCCACAAGAATCATCAAATTTAGATTTCTACAGCTCAACTTATGATTAAAACATCGAAGCATACTCATCTTGAAGAGTTTCCAGGTTTTAAGTCTCATCTTCAACGCGTCACAGCTTTCTCGTTTCAACTCTTATTCTTGCACCGTTTGTTCCTACTCATCACAAATTCCATCGACATCATTCTTATTCATTCAAATATCATTTTTAACCTAAAAATGCTCAAAATACATCCCGTGATCCCATAAAAGGTATTTATGAAATAATTAACTCAAATTTCATAATAAAAACACATTTTTCCACAAATAGTCCAATTGAATCACTAACAAAACATGTATTTTCAAGCTCTTATCACCCCTTGATTATCACACCCTATCTTCACAGCATCAAGCTTGAAACCAAGCTCTAAACTCAATCTTCGAAGCCACATAACTTCCTTGGCAGCATGTGTCAATGCCATGTATTCTGCCTCAGTTGATGACAAAGCCACAGTAATTTGTCTTTTACTCATCCAACAAACAACACCACCAAATAAAGAGAATACATACCCACTTGTAGCACGCCTATTATAGAGATCATCTCCCTAATCAACATCCACAAAACCTATCACATCTAGCTCATCCCTAGTCACCATGCCCCCATAAGATAATGCTAAATTTGAGGGCCCACATAGATATCTAAGAACCCTCTTTACAGTACTCCAATGCTCCTTGCCAAGATTAGACATAAAGCGAATTAAAAATCCCACTGCTCGTGCAATATCAGGTCGCGTGCACTCTATGACATACATCAAACTACCCATAACACTAGCATATGGCACATGTGTCATTTCTTCAACATCGTTGCAACATTTACATATAAGATTAAAGTAACAAAGACATTTTCTAACCTTTTTACATACACACAGTGATCCACATTACTGCAACTAAAACCATGCTGAAGAACATAAGAGTCAAACTTTTGGTACCACATATGTTGACCTCTCATATGTTTTGATGTGCCAAAACTATCCAAAAAGTTGATTGAACACTAACCATAACATGGTAAGGTATGACTCAAGTCATAAGCAAACCAAAACAGGTCTAACAAGTGGTTCAATCATGCATACGAAAATTTCTGCTTAGGTACGACTGTGCGTGATCAAGGCATGATTGTTTCTTAAGAGAAAGTTGCTGTGAAATATAACATGACATCGTTCCCTTGGTTGTTAGTCACGTTGCCAATTTTTTGAAGTGGCACTCACATGACCAGACTGCACTCGCACGACTATCCTACATGACTATGCACCTAGGTTCAAAAGTCAAGATAATTCAAATCCAGAATACTTCGCGCTATTGACTTCATCTCAAAGGTCAAAGTCAAAACTCAAAGTTCAACATGGGAATGACTGTTACTTGTGGTGGAATGACTATTCGTATCTGAAGAAGTTTTGCACGACATTATTCCAAGAGATCGTTTGCTCCTTTGGAAATTTAAGAAGATTTGGAAGAACATCTAGATGTGATCATTCCGCATGGTGGAATGATTGTTCAGTAGTCTTGCACGATCATATGGTGTGGTGGAATGACCATTCCAGTTGACCTAGATCTGAAAAATATGATCGTTGTATCAAGAACTACCGTTCGCGATTATGGAACGACCGTTCCTCTAGGTTATATAGGCTTTATCAGAACTGCATTAAATGCTGCAACAGTTAATTCTTTTTTAGTTATAAAAGTTCGATGCTCCTAGGTTATTTCACAGAGAAGAGATAAGAAAAACATCCTAAGAGCATCTCCAAAGGACTCTTTATATGACCCAAACTTTTTATTATAAAGAGTTTATCCATAAAAACAAGAGTCCAATAGACTCTTTATCTTTAAAATATAAATTAAAGAGTGAGTTCGACTCTCCACATTTAGAGAGTCAAATTTCACTCTCTATCCTAATTTTAATTAATAAACTACAAGCTCCTATGCATTTTATTTATTAATTCTCTCTCCCATTAAGTCTCTTTCTTAAAAATAAAGAGCATCTTTATTAAATTTAAAGAGTCCATTGGATTTGAATAAAAATTGTGTTCTTTATATTTAAAAATTGATGAAGATGCTCTTTATTTATATGAAAGATACTCTTCAAAATAAAGAACACCATTGGAGATGCTCTAATATAATCCCTAGAGCTCAAAATCAAAATCAATACTCTCACTTGTACTCATCTTGTAAACCTTTGAGAGATCATTTGTTCTTATTGTGTGTATAAGCCTACCTAAAAGAGGCACCCAGTCACCAACAAATTTAAATCATTTCCTTGATGGCGAAATCCTGTAAAACTAGGTGCAATATTGTAAATCTATGTGTGTGAGGCGAAAATTCTTGTGAAAACTATTGTATGGGCAAAATCTGATTCTAGTGGAACTTCAAGGAGGTTGCCTTGAAGAAGTGGATGCAGGAGGCTTGTGGAAATAGCTCCGAACCACTATAAATTGTTGAGCATTTCTCTCTCTCGACTTTTTGTTATACATTGCTTATTTGTTGAGTTGAACATCATTAACTTCACATGTTCATGCATTTATAGCTCATATTTATTGTCTACATGTTTAGTGCATTTATTGCTATTTCTTGAACTCACTTAGGGTTCATAACTTCATCATCATTTGGAGCATAGTTATTAAACTTGTTAAGATACATTTATTATTTGCCTTATCTTTTATTGACAAGTTTTATTCCATGAACATTTTTATTGATTCCTATTCACCCCCCTCTATGAATATTTAGCCATATTTTGGGTTCAACAACATCCTTGGTTACTGTTTAAGCCCATACAAAGAATTCCTCAACCTACACACTAAATCTTCCTTCCCTTTGCATACAAACCCCTCAGGTTGTCTTATGTAAATTTCCTCCTCTAAGTCTCCATGTAAGAATGTAGTCTTTACATCCAGTTGCTTAATTTCAAGATTGTGCACAACAACTATAGATAGAACATACCTTATTGATGTTAACTTGGCCATAGATGATAAAATCTCACCATAACAAACACCTTTAATCTACGAGAAACCCTTTGCAATGAGCCTCGCCTTATACTGTGCAATTGTTCCATCTGCCTACAGCTTTCTTTTGAACAATCACTTGCAACTAATCGCCTTTCCATCCTTAGGCAATTTACATAGGACCCATGTACAATTCTTGTCCAGTGACTGCATTTCCTCATTTATCACAAGCTCCCACAAATTTGCATCTTCCATGGCTCTTGCTTCATTTACATTCTTAGGTTCATCACCGGTCACATCCAAAGCATGCAATCCACTCAATACATTTAGAGAGTAACAAACCGATGCCCTTCTAACCCTTGTAGATCTCCTTAAAGTTGGTGGCACCACAACTTCATCATCAGAATCATCCTTTGAACCATCTAGAGAACCCTCATCAACCACACTATCAAATTGATCTTCATGATCATATTATGTACGCTTTAAGTTATCAATCTCTACAACAACATTAGTAATTACCTCCTCCTCTTGATCTATTGTAGTCACATCAAACTGAACTCTCTTTGACTATTCAAGATCCTCAAGAGCTCCCACATGTTGTTTTACCTCTCTAAAGGTTACATCTTTGCTGTAGATACTACTTCTATTCATGAGATTCCACAACTTGTACCCTTTGATGCCATCTTTGAACCCCACAAACTTGCATTTCTCAGATTTACTATCAAGCCTGCTTCTCTTTTCCTTTGGCATATGCACATATGCATCACAACCAAAAACCCGAATAAAAGACAGATTAGGCTTCTTACCATACAGAGCTTCATACGACGTCATGTCTTTAACAGAAAAAGTAGGAGACTGGTTCTTCAAATAAAAAGCCATTGTAGTAGCTTCAGCCCAAAATTCAGACCCCAAATCCATTGTATTCAACATACACCTAGCCTTCTCTAACAGTCTTAGATTGAGACGTTCAACCACTCTATTCTGTTGAGGCATGTAAGGTGTAGTTTTTTGCCTTGCAATTCCATGTGTCACATAAAACAGCTCAAATTTACTAGAACAAAACTCAGTATTGTTATTAGTTTGCAATGCCTTAATCTTCCTGTCAAAATCCAACAGTGTCTAGATAAATCATCAATGAAAGATAGGTAATACCTGGATTTACCAACAGATTCCACTAGAGTAGGCCCGAAGACGTCATTGTGAATTAACCCCGTAATTTTTGTTGCTCTCGTGCCTGTCGACTGAAAACTGGCTCGATTCTGCTTGCCTTGTAAACACTCCTCACAGAACCTGAAACTCATTGAACAGTTAGGAATACCTTCAACCATTTTCTGAGTCACCAAAGTAGACAAAGTTGTTGTAAGAATTCATACTTAGAAAGGGTAAAATTGGTGTAAAACATGGTATAAGGTCGTATGACTTGTTATTGAAACTAAAAGGGTGAAATTCAAGATGAAGAAGAGAGAGCCGGCCATGAGAGCTCAAGAGAGAGATTTTCAATCAAAAAGAAAATTAGATAAAATTTGAGAATATCACTTATTTATATACAAGGACCATTTTGCAATAATTTGAAATTGCTCTCAAATCCTTGAATTAATATGAATCCTATATTAACACTTAATACAAATTCAATATTGTTTTCAAGTCTTTGAACTAATTTCAATTTAATATTAACTCTTAATATTAAATTGTTGTTGATCCTAAGTCCTTAAAACAATTTCAATTTAATATTAACTCCTTAATATTAAATCCTTGATTTAAAAAAATTTATAATCAAGGCCTATAAAATAATTCCATTTAATATTTGACTCATTACTAAGTCCAATTCAATAATATATTTTAGTCTATAATTGAATCTAATCCAGTAATGACCAAATTACTTTATTACCTTTGGTAAGTGCTAGCTTCCCATGAGTAATCATTTCTCACCAATACATAAATTCGGATACACAAGTTTACATCTGAATATCATTAACCTTTAACGATATGTAATAATCTCTCTTCTCATACTTGGTTTTTAGGTGTAACCACTTAGCTTCACTGTAACCTAACTTTGGGCCCAATATCGTAATCCGATATGTTTCGTCATAACTCTTTATGATCAAAACTCCCACCGATCATGGTAGACATCTAGCAATGCTCCATAACCCCTAAACCACAATCCAATGAACCTTTGTTTCCCGATCGTACGTTTTATGTAGTAAAATCCCTTTATTGTCTAATCCCCGATTAAGTATAGTTTCATAATATGTCAAAACCCTTAACTTAATCTTTATCCTAATTGTTAATCAATACAATGAAACGTGTCATCATGAAACTCATTTTCATATGACTATTTTGTACTCTGGCCATAAATTTCCTTTTTCCAATGTTTATTGACATTCGTCTGGGAACTCGGGACCAAACCATTTCGAGTCAACGGATCTTATCTTGACCATCACTTGTCCTCGCACATGAATAACATATGACCAAACCGGCTTCTTACACAAAACATGACTAGTCTTGTGTATATACACCATATGGATCATATGCATCCTATATCGAGTCCAACTGTGATGTCTCAGGTCTAAGGATTAGTGGTACACTAGTACGATCCTACGATGTATCATTGACCACATTCTAAATGTCCTTGTGATTCATCGTAATCGGTCATATTCAATAAACAGTCCACTAACTGTTTGTTCATACTAATGCCCTAGTGACATAACTCTTATAATCACCCACACTAATACCATCACATGATATTCAATAGAGGCATTCATCATGCCTATTATGCAATGTTATTGCCCAATTAACATTACTTACATAGGGAATTCTTCGATTATTTGGTCTTCTAAAGATCCGTATAATCCGGACAT